TAAGGCAGGCGGGGAACATTGGTTTCCTCCGTCACTGAAGCAAGCAAGCCTCATGTTAGTTTCAAGCTGCCTTGCTGCCGGCGGTCATCTTGGCTGGCAGTTAATTTGCATATCGCCCTGATTATCCAATGGGAAGGGTAGCGGTCGTACACCAATTACCATGTTTCTCTTTTATTAGATAGGATTTCTTCCAGATACATTATGGTCTAAAATTTTTTAGCACATTTTTGTCTGAGAACCTCAAATAATAATCATATCAATTATACTAATGATAATTATTTTATTTGTTGAACACCTACTCTATTCTAAGCATCTTAAATACACTTCTTATCCTCAGATGACTATCATGTAAAGTGCATATTATTTTATGTCTACTATAAATAATTAAAGAACCAATTGTCAAAAGTCAAACCTAGGATTCAAATTCATTTGTGACTGATTCTACATCCTCAATGCTTTTAATACTATATCTCACCATCCTCAATTTTAATACATCTGTAACTACTAAGTCACCCAAATCATTTTTTTGTCCCTTTCCTCCTAACTTTAATATAAAGACTGTTTATGATCCCATTTTGCCAATATTGTATAGAAAACATGTTTGTTCCATCTCTCTTTTATCTTTCTGAAGGCAATGTTTCTACTAGTCAATCTAGACAGTGTTCCCAGTCTATATTCCCAGTAACTAACAGTTTTGTTATATCAATTTTAATGCAAGCAGAAAACCAGAAAATGAAATATATGGCAGGGCTCTTGCCCTGTTGGAAACAAATCCTGGCACCATTACATATACTATGGATAGTTTTTCAGATGGGTTTTGCAAGAGCCATTTCTGCTAGTCATTTAATTCTTGTGATCCTTTTCCAGAACCATTTTAACTTGTCTTCAGAAACCTTTAAGAACTGACAATGTGTCTCTACCCTTGCACTTTGTTTACTCAGCTGAATGTCACAAAGAAAGTGAGAGTTTTCCAACTGGTACAACAATAAACTAAAACTTCAAGATAATACCCTGTGATTTTGCAAATTATATGTTCTATTTGCTTAACAGTTCTGAATTCTACAATATGCTTATATACATTTTCCATCTTCTCTGGGTACAAAAATATTCTGAGCAAGGACTTTCTGATTTTCGCCTCATGCAAAAAGCACAAAAATTTTCTATAGTTTTTCATAAATAGAACATTTCACTGTAGTTTAAACTGATATTTTAATAATCATTCAATAATCATTTGCTAAGGATATATATATATCTTCTGCAGACGAGGATCCCATGCATAGAAATGTTAAGTTCAAAGAGTTGGGAAATGCACAGGCTGGACTGGAAACTCAATCTTTTCTCTCTAAAGCACAAGAGCTTAACCTCCATACCAAGCAATTACCAATATATGTGGCTCCAAATGTACTATTTCATTTTATGCTTTTGACTTGTCTTTTTTTTTCTGACTTTTTCTTCTTGTTTTCTTTTCAGCTTAATAAAAATCTTTGTCACTCTACTTTCCCCTTGCATTAGTTTTCCAGTTATATATTCTTTACCTAAGACCATTCTTTTTTGAGTGTGGCTTTAGGTGTCTGTCACTAATTATAAGACAGATAGTGCTACGCTGAGATATATTAACATTTCAAGATATATCTCTGCTTTGCCTCATTAAGCTGTTGGGGGGAAAAAAAGGAAAAACACCTTGAATCTGTTGTTGATATCTCCCCCTATATTAGTAGAATCCTAACTGGATTTTCCCACCCCGTTCCAGACCACCTGCCTCACCATCCCACATCTGATATCTATTGTTCAAGTTTCTCAAAGTGTTTTTAGCTTTTATTTTAAATTAAATTATAGAGTCACAGCTGAGAGATAGACTTTGGGAAAATTCACAGAGCTTAGTCCTTTTTCACCAGATTCACATGCACTTATGTGTGCATGTGTGTATACTTCTGTTCACTTTTGTGCAGATCTATGGGACCACCATAATTGAAACACAATTGCTTCATCTCCATAGGCTCTGCCCTTATAGCCATCTATACCACCAGGCCCATCTTTAGCCCCTGGCAACCATGAATCTGTCCCTGATGTCTGTAATTTTAGATCAAGGACATTATGTAAATAGAATCACAGTGGCCTTTTCCATGCAACGTAGTTCCTTAAGATGCACTGAAGCCTTGAAGGACTCATAAATATCAGTCCTTCATACCTTTTCCCTGCTGTGGAGTCCTCCATGTGTGGATGTGCCAGTGTGTTCAATCAGTCACGTGTAGGAGCACATTTTGGTTGTTCCCAGTTTTTTGTGTGTTTATAGATAAAGCTGCTCTCAACACTTCATTTACAATTTTTTTTTTGTCTGACCATACTTTATTTTTCCCCCTTTGGGACAAATGTCCAAGAATGAAATCTCCAGGTCACATGAAGTTTGCGTGTTTAGTTTTAGAAGAAAGTGCTAAATGGTTTTTCAAAGTGGCTGGACCATTTTACATTCCTACCAGCAATGAACAAGTGTGTTTCTTCCACATCCTGTCCAGCACTTGATGGGGGCCTGTATTTTATTTTAGCCATTCAGATAGGTATGTAGTGACGTATCATTGTCATTATCATCTGCATGTCTCTAATGTCTGACAATGGGGAACATCTTACTGCATCTGTATCTGCTCAGTGAAATTCTATTCACATTTTTTGCTCATTTTCTAAGTGGATTGTCTTACTGTAGAATTTTGTGGCCATTGGATATTCTAGATCAAAGGCCTTTGCCATATAACCATTATGCAAATATCAAATCACTATTATTAATTCTTTTGCACCATGCAGCTCTATCACAATTTGTGATTATTCAGTTAATTTGTGTCTTATCCACTATAGTATAACATAAACCTCATGCACTACTATATCTCCTGAGTATAATATAGTCTGGTACATATGTGGTACTCAAAATGTATTTTCTGAAGTAAAGGAAAAAAGGTAAGAAGAAAGGAAGGGAGGGAGGAAAGAAGGAAGGAAGGAATAGAATTCTTTGGATTTAAAAGGCCTAAGAGGAATATTTTACAACTTTGCTTGCAGGTCAAGAATCATTTCTATATTCTTTCTCTTGAATCATCACTCATTCCTTGTGCCAATGGTGGGTACTTCTACCTCAAGAAAAGTTGCTTTCTTTGCTGAGTTACTCTTAACAACTATTAGAGAATTTTTTCTTGGCTAGAGCTAATATATGGCTCATACTAAATTTTACCCATATGCTCTCCTCTTCATTTTGGAGCTTCCTGGAATGTGTTCTATCCCCTTTTCAGATGGCAAGTTTTCAAATATTTCAAGTTATTATGTTTCTCTCAACATATTCTTCTTCCCCAGCCTAATGATACCTGATTGCCTACATTTCATCTCATAATTGTATATGATATAATTTTATTTATGTGCTTTGAAGTCTTTTAAAAAGTAATATTTTTCCTAATGTCAATTAATTAGGTTTCTTATATTTTAAAAACTATGTTCAAATTGTATTAATTGGTTCTTCCCTCCCATCCCCAAATAAGTTCTGGTGTCAAAATAAGAAGGAAATCTCACTTTATATTCTCCCACTTGGAAAGTCATATTACAGAATAACATATTATGCTTCTGAGAAGCTTTGGAGTAAAGCAATATGTTGAGCTTTCTTTAATCTGGTGTTTCACAAATCATACAAAAATAATGTTTTCTTTACACTCGTGTGTGTGTGCGCGCGCGTGCACACACACATATATATATATACACACACACACATATATATTCAAATATATATATATATATAATCTTATAGGACTTTTCAAAAAACTATTGTATAAAGGCACATATTAATCATTATGTAATATTTATTGTTTATATCATATGTCTTGCAAAATCAAAAGTCTAAAAGAAACTATACTTTGTTACTTAACAAAATCCTGGATTAATTGTTTAACTCATGAAAAACAGCTGTATTACGTCAGGTACTTAGAGTATGAATTATTTCTCATGTTTATTGGAAGAAAAAAAAGCAAAGTGGGAAAATATATGTGCATACACTCATGCTAGAAAAATGGAAACAAATGTCACCATAACACTTTCTATTAAAATGTGTTTTTAATAAAACTTATGAGTAATGTGCCTGAAATAAATCTGAAATAAAGAGTTCCATTTTGCTAGAAAGCATTCACTCTTTTTATTTTAAAAATCCAAGAAAATATTGACAAATATATGAGCTGAACACTGCAATTCAAGTGGATTTCAACTGTTAAAATAATAAGATACTGTCAGAAATGTGTTATAATAAGTGTAAAAAATGTAAGCGTTTAATTGCTGGAGTACATTGTACTATATCTAGGAACAGCGGCTACAGAAAATAGTAGTAAACTAAAAATGGCTGTTGCTCTGACATTTGGTATTAAATGACTAAAAAACTCTCTCATGAAGTACTTGATGTATTTCATACCTATTTTTGGACTAAATACTAAACTTCAACCTACAAAAGCTACTTAGCTATCTGAATTTAATTATTTCTTTATAATTATAATTTAAAAGGTCTCATTTTTTTTATTTTCTACAGATTGTCCTATCTCCTATTAGGTTACTATATTTCTATGGTAAATATAGTATCTGCATAAGCAATTTTGAACATATGCAAACAAATATCTTCTTTCTATGGTGCAACAATACAATTGCATTATTTGGTATTAATACACTGTGAAAGAGACAAAAAATATCTTTGAGTTAATTACTTAACTCTGTGTCTGTTTTATTTATTTAAAAATTGTATACTGGCCCTGGCCAGATGGCTCAGTTGGCTGGAGATCGTCCCATACATCAAAGGTTTGTGGGTTCGATTCCCAGTCAAGGCACATACCCAGGTTGCAGGTTCAATCCTTGGTTGGGGAATGTATAGGAGGCAACTCATGTCTCTCTCTCTCTCTCTCCCTCTCTCTTTCTCTCTCTCTCTTAAAAAAATGGTCTATTCTACTGTGAAAGAAGCCTCTTTGAATAGAAAAACTAAACTGCACAGATGAAAATGGTGGCCTGGAACAACTGGAAATGTGATTTCTGCTTTAAACCTATGAATGTTATCCAAATATCATGTTGGAAATATTAGTGTATTAAATCAATTTTAGATTGTTGAAAATGTGTTTAAATAATGAGAGTCTGAAGGAGCCTGAAACAATTCATTAAATCTATTGGGACTGGTGGTTTGATTTCATTTCCATCCAGACGCAGGTAGCTCAGATGAGGTCCGTAACTGAAGGAGTCTTGGTCTGCAGGTAGTGTGGTAGTGGCAGGACATATCACAGAGACGTTCACATCTAGAGAGACAGAGAAAGTATGAATGAATGAATTAGAACACAAGAGACTAAGGGAAGGAGGACAAAGAAACTATTACAACAGACTATGAGGCCAGTCTTATGATGTAGAAAGTGACAAACCATTTTTTTGTAAGTTGGGGGTAATGCATATCTGTTTTATAAAATTGTTCCTGAAAAAATGGGCAGCACATTTATAGTCATCTGACTCCATATTCTGCTATATGTAGTACAGAGCACTAGAAAGGACACATTGTTAAAAGCTGCAATGAAAACAAGGTGAGATAAGGCATGCTTAGATTACCATAGGCTGAGACAGGTAAGACTTAGGGTATTAGAGACAACAGTTCAGAGTGGGTATGGAAAGAATAGGTAGGTGCATGGGTGGGTGGATGGATGGATGCATAGGTGGAAAATCAGTCATTAAAGTGCTTGAAAATTACCTTAAAATGCAGAATTTCAAATCAATAGTATATAATGACAAGTTTTTTTTAAAGTACAATTAACATAAGTGTATATAAGTAACACATAAAAATAACTTGAATCTTTATACTTAAGTGTATTTAATGGGAATGGAAACATTTGCCAAGAATTGAATAACAAAGAATTCAAGCCAGGAATTATCCCATCAGCCTCTTCAGATGGTTAGGATGTGAGAAACTGTGCACCTGCCTTGGGTCAGAGCCCTTGGCATCAATGATTATACTGAGATGTAGGAGATTTGGGAGAGAAGTCCTGCTAAACTAGCAGAATTTGGAGAAGTATAATAGCCGATCTCAACCATGAATCCTTATATTGCGTTTAAATCCCATTTTGAAACTACTTGGAGCAAAAATTCTTCCTTAGAAGATGAGACCCACCTAGCTGGGGCCATGGCCCCTTTTTTGGGTCCTGCTGGCACATAGGTATTTATATTGTATTGAAGGATTTATGCTTACAGTGAGGTTGCTTTGCTATGATCTTATGCCATTTTGTGAATTGAACTAAAAATGACTCATATTTGTATGACAGTCTTGTGTTTATAAAGTTATTTTTTTCACATACATTATCATGCTATTACCACACGGCCTTTATCAGGTAATGTTATTCTCCCCGGCTGGGTCATGTGGGAACAGTGGTTGAGACAGGTCAGATAATGCACACCAGGCATTTAGGCAAGTCCAGTCAGAGCCGGATCTCAGCCTACTCCTTTTCCTACTGCGCAGGACCCCTTGCCTCCTGGAGAGGGCGTGTCCTTCTATGTACTATCTCCTCATCCTTATCACCCCTGTGCTCATAACCAGTGCGTGCGTGAATAAATGGAACAGAAGAAACATGTGTTCTAAATTAGTTATATTTTATAAATTAATTATGGTGTTTCTGAGAGGCCACCTAGAAGTAACATAACATTTTGCCAAATTTAAAGTGCCATAAAGAGTTCAGAAGAAATAAGTGTTGCCATTATTTTGCATAAGACAAGTTCACTGCCTTGTAAATTCTGAGAACTCTTCATATAAAAGGTGCATTTCTTGGAAATCACTTTATTAACAACTATAGCAGATTATGTGTCTAGAAGCACTAAGTACTTTAACAATTGTTATAACACAGTGTGATATAATGGTGAGCCAATAATTATATCCAGGGAAAAACTCATTTTAAGTTTATTCTCTTGGAGTATTAAAATGACCATGCTTTATATCTACATTAAGAAGCAAAAAACTCAATTGCTCTTTGTTGGTGTTGTTGCTATTAAAATTATTGATAAAAATTTTTCTAAAGTTTTATATTCTCAGAATTTAAGAAAAATGTGCTGTGATTATACTGTGTGAGTGCAGGAAAAAATATTTAAAATGAGAAGTCCTGGGCTCAGGTTCCTGCTATTATCTTTATTCTCTGTTTTTAGTAAATATCTTCCCCTCATTGAACGCCTCAGTTTCTCTTTTGTTATAAGTTCCTAATCATAGCATACGAGGCTCTTTTAAGGATAATCTGTGGTTCTCAAAGGGGGGTCCCTGGACCTGCAGTATAAGAACTTGCCTGAGAGCTAAATGATCAGGCCTCACCTCAGATGTCTTGAGTCAAACACTAGCCCCCCAGGTGACTCTGGGGCCTGCTAAGGTATGAGAACAATTCAAGAATAGGAAGACAGGCCGAAACCGGTTTGGCTCAGTGGATAGAGCGTCGGCCTGCGGACTGAAAGGTCCCAGGTTCGATTCCGGTCAAGGGCATGTACCTGGGTTGCGGGCACATCCCCAGTAGGAGATGTGCAGGAGGCAGCTGATCGATGTTTCTCTCTCATCGATGTTTCTAACTATCTCTCTCCCTTCCTCTCTGTAAAAAATCAATAAAATATATTAAAAAAAAAAAAGAATAGGAAGACAGGAGAAAACACTTTGCAAAAGCTCTCTAAAATGTTAATGAAGGAACTACAGAGTCCTTTTCTTCTTAGTGTCACTTTGTATAATGCTGTAAGTGCTGGCAGATGTGCCCAGCTGTGTGTTGAACTTTGCTACCTCACTACTGAACACCCTCATCCTCTAATTCTCAGGGGAATCCCTAACTCACAAAAAGGGACTTAATATGAAATCGCTTTAAAGTATCCTGTCACAGCAAGTATTGATGAGGCTTCTACAGGCTTCTACGCCTGTAGAAGTGCAGAATTCTCATCAAGAAAAACAATTGCACATATTTAGGTCAATATTGGCTGTTGTACTATCAGGTTCAGTGAAACGGATTCTATTAACATTTTTGTTGCCTCTTTTGCTTTTGACTACAGGATTAAACATGTCTCATCACCATGGAGAAATAACTGTTGTGGCAGCAACCTGCTTATTACTTCCTGGATTTTTAAGCTCATGTATGCTGTTAGAAAAACCAGACGGGTCTTGAATTACGGAGTAGTACCGAGTAGAAAAAATTTTTATTCTTATAAATGGGATGTTTACGTGATTACATACTTTAAGAAAATCTTAGATTGTAAAACCGGGCAGCGTAACTTTCTGACAATTATCTGTGTTATTTTTCTACAAGCTGTCTAACCCAGTGGTTCTCAACCTGTGGGTCGCGACCGCTTTGGCAGTTGAACGACCCTTTCACAGGGGTCGCGTCACAGCATGAGGAACTATATTTAAAGGGCCAGAAGGTTGAGAACCACTGAGCCGATTCTCACTTTAGGCATGCATTTGCTAAGGTTGTTCAGGAGAAGTCTCCTCCAGATTGCCTTCCTAGAGGGCTTGTGCTGGGATTGAGGCTGCATGGATAGGTGCCTGGCTGACACCAATGCCCCTGTGGTTGCAGGAAGGCACCGCCCACTTCTGCACCACAGTCAGCCTCATCTCAGGCATAACTGTGAAGGTGCCACGTTTGCCTTTAATGCCTCTCTAGCTTCTCCTTTCTACAACCACTTCTTTCCTTGATGGCACCTCTGCCTCCAAGACACTTGGCACTCACCTCGCTCTCCCTTATCCAAAGCTATTTTCAGGAAAGGCGAGGGTATTGTACCTTGGAGATGGCCATTAGTTCTAAGGAGGTGCCCAAGTCCAGGGACATTGGCTTTCGTTTACATTGAGCACAGCCTTAAACTACAGGATTGGTCCCCAGTACATGGTTCCCAGGTGATGCAGCAGTCTCAGCATCACCTGGGAACTTGTTAGGGATGAAAAGCCTCTGGTTCCATCTAGACGTACTCAATCAGAAACTCTGAAGTGGAGCCACAGGCCTGTGCACCCTAAAGTTTGAGAAACCCACTGATCTAAAGCAGAGACTCTAATGAGGGCAGCAGGCACCAGCTGCCCTGGAGTTTGTGGGAGAAAGGCGCCTTCCTGAAAACTCTAAACCACATTCCTTCTGTTACTGTTCATGAGGCTGTGTGTGCCTGGGACACTTTCTTAAATAAGTCTTTTCAGTGAGGCAGAACACACAGAATCTCCTTGGAGTTAAAGAAGATGGAGGCATTTCATTGCCTGATAGCTGATAGCTAACAGCTCCCTGTGGATCACCGAAGCCCATTTTTCAATCTGCAATTTGAAGATTGAAACTTTTTGGTTCATTGAAACCATCTGTTAAGAGATAAAAGTAAATACACTTTAAAAATTAAAAATAAACTTTGAAAAAAATTTAAGGGCAGCTTAGTTGGAAAAGAAAACCAACACATTGCTCTTCTTAAAGAACATATAGAATACATTTAATGACCATGAGCATTTCAGTCAAAGACATGCCCTGATGGCTACTTACTTCTAATTTTGTTGTGGTCCAGGTGCAGGTGCTGCAGATGTGCATTGATTCGGGGCACTTTTGTGAGTCGGTTGTGAGACAGCTGGAGATCCAGAATGGATGACACGTCAAAACCACTGGACGGGAGACCTGAATCGGATAACTTGTTGTGGTTGAGTCTCAAGAAGGCCACTTTAGGAATCACATTAAAATAATTTTCTGGTATTCCCTCAATGGAATTGTTGTCTAAAAACAGTTGCATTGTGTTGGCTGGTAATCTTGGTGGCATATTCCTCAGGGCATTCTTGGCCATATTTAGCTGCATGAGGTTCTTAAGTCCCTTAAAGGTGTCCCTTTGAAAGGCATTGTCTAATAGTTTATTGTGTTGCAGGTCAAGAAGGGTCAGGTTCTCCAGATTGCTAAAGGTCCCTTGAGGAATTCTAGACACCTTGTTTCTAGCTAATTGTAATTGCTCTAAACTTCTTGGCAATGGAGAAGGAACCTCCTCTAGCTCATTATCTTCCAGAAATAAGAAAAGCAGCTTCTTTAGCTGGCTGAGGGCTCCTCTTTCAATTCCATCGTTGGTTATTTTGTTCTTGTTTAGATTGATCCACCTCAGCTGGGTGGCATTCTCAAATGGCTTCTCAGGAATGGTTTCTATCAGGTTGTTTTCAAGATAAAGATACCAGATCCTTGAAGGAATAGCAGGGATTTCTTTGAGACCACGATTTTCACAGTATAAAGCGGTAGGAAAACTGGGGGGACAGAAACATTCCCTGGGACAATCGAAGTCTTGCTCATTAAAATCCTCTGGATCATGGACCTCATAGACCTGTCTCACAGTTCGAGTCCACACAGAATCTGTTATGAATGCCACCCAGATGAGGAAACAGATTGTGGTTGCCATGATAGTACCTGTAGTAAAGGATTCAACTGTTAGATATTGAAGATCTCTAAAGAGAGAATGGTGTGCACTAACCTGATCTGTAAACATTATTTCTTTGAGCAGAAAGTAAACACATATCAGCCTTTTATACATAGACAGTAATTTATACCCATTTATTTAGAAGGCACTATATGCAAAGCATTTTGCAAACACTGAAACTGACTCACCAACTTGTAACTTTCTGGTTTTAACCTAATCACAATGAAAACTGAAAAGCAAATTTTAGGAGCTATAAGTGCTTTTCCATTTCAAGCTACTTAATGCAAGGAAGTTAACTGAAATCTGGAGTTGGATAAAATAGTACAAAAAAATGATCTTTAAATAATTCACATTGAGTCTGTGTTGTTCCTAGGAAGCAGGCATATGCTTTTACTTTTATTCCTAAATGAGCAGAACATCTGGATGAGATTTCCCAGGCTCTGGGCCTTGAACCAAAGAAAGAGCAATCAGAGAACGTTTTAGCAGTTTGTTTTGAGGAACGTTTTAAGATCTGAAGAAAGGTGTATGATTAATCTCTTACTCTGTTGCTCAACTTCTCAGGTAAGTTTTATTTTGGGGTTTGGGGGAGAAACTTCTAACATAAGTATAGAATTAAGTTGTTCAGTCAAGAAATTTGAATTATGAACTTTATATCACAACTAGGTAAATAATGCATTTAATTACAGCATTTTTATGTTGATAAGAAACAAAACAAAACAAAGAACATGCTTAGGATGCAGGGAGGGCTCCCAATTTTCAGTATGGCCACTAACAAAGAATAGTTTAACACTTACTGATATATGAAACATCTAAAAACACGAACCCTTCCCATAGTATATAAACAAGATCATAGGCACAATAAAATATTTTAACAGGAAAAAACACATATATGTACCAGTAACATTCAACCAATATACATTTAGTTCAACTGCTTGATAATAAGGACCAAATAAATTTTACTAATTCCTTAAAAAAAAAAGATAAATCAAACCAGCGTCACTTATGAAATGCTAACCTTTCCATTTTGCTGCTAAATTGAGGGAAATGACAAGTGCAGAGCTGCTTCCACAAGCTGTCAAAGTTCTTAGAGTTGCAGAATGCTGCCCTGGTCCTCTTCCAGCAGAGATAGTGAAATAGTCCTTTTTCCTTCAGAATAGGGATTCGTTTTATTTATTGAAGTTGTACCCATGCCTCTGATGGATCAGAACTTCAAATTCTTAACTTTAAGGTTTTAAAAGTGTAAAATAGTTTACCTTGCTGTCCAGGAAATATACCGTTGAGTCCTGTGTCTGGGTCTGAAGTTTGCTGAAACTCAGTTAAGGAAAAAAAAAATCTTTGCCTCAAGTAATTTGTTTTTATTTCATGCTGACAAGCCTCCTGTGATAAAAAATAAAGCTTACTCTGACCGGTCACCATGAACCTTTTGATCTATTGTTTCCACTTTGACCGGGCGTTGGAACCTGCTTACCTCAGCCCTCGGATCTTCTTCTCCCCTTCCTATTGGTCACTGCTCATTCACAGTAGTGGATTGACCCAGACTCCACCGTGGTGTTTTTAGGAATCCTCCCTAATATATATGCACCAGTAGCTCCAACTTTAACCCCTCCATCAACCACAGCACCTCAGTACCTACACAGCCCAGCACAGGAAATTCTGACTTTAATCTCAGGAAATTATAACAGTGATTCAGGGCAATTTTCACCCTGAGTTCACAGTTCCAATGATATTGTAATGAACTAATTTCTAGACCTGATTTATTAGCAGGCAACTTACGGCAGTTTTGGTTTCACGTGTAGCAAAAGAGACTTTAAAGCAATTGTTTTCTGGAAGAACTTTTTAAAAAAATGAATACAAAAATAATTAAAGACCAATGTTCTCTGTTTATATGAAATTATGGTTTTGTTTGTTTCTCATATAAAACAGATTCTGGAATCCTATTTAGATATATTGTGTTTGATTAATAAAAAAGAGATAGAAAATATATTTCAAAATTTTAAACATGAAATCAGGGAAACTATAGCTAATGTTGGCACTAAACATGGTGTTAGGCTCTGTTTTATAGAAATAATTTTCGTGTCTCTAATTCCTACTGGGAGCTTTATTCCAAACACTTTTTAAATGCATATTTTAATCACCATAACACATTTTACTTTGAGTTTATTATGAGACATTGTTTCACTGTTATTTTTTTTCATTAACACATATGTCTAAGTAATGTCTTCCAGTTTTTATATTTGAGGAAAAATTTGCAATGCCTTTTGAGGAAAGATGCAGATTTTTAAAGTCTCATTTTCAGATATTGTTTTATTGATGGATTGTAATTTTGTTTTTCAAAATCTGTTTTATTCTGGAACCAGGAAGCTTAATTTCTATGACGCATTCAACACTGTTCACGTCATATTATGAAAGATAGAACACAGGGAAGAGTGGAGAGCATTAGGTTCAAAGGTCCATTTCTGAGCCTCCTCTGAGCCCCCTCCTAACCATCGCAGGTCAGTCAGAGCTCCGCTTGTCATCTGTAAGATAGTAATGGATTACCTCACAGCATTGCCCAATGAGTATCGACATGTAAGCCTTTCTGTATTTCGTATTAGCCTTACTGTTTCAACTGGAAAATGCATCCAAGCTTAAGGGTTTTAGAGACGAAGTTTCGATTGAAACATGACCTCTTCTTAGACTTACAGGAACACTCATATCATATTTTAAGACCAAAAAATTCAAATGTTATTTGCTTTCTCACAATTATATCTCTCTACAGCAGATTTTTTCTTTCTCTTTGATTGTTTTCTAAACTCTCGGGATAGAAGCAACAGATGACCTTAGAATCCACACAGCCCCCCTTCAGCTACATTCGTATTTATTTACTTCAGTCATTGTGTAATATTATTACACAAATGTTGCTACAATTTCATTGTAGGAAAATTAGAGTAGTATACTGGCTGGCTGCCTTCAATCTTCATTTCCTTCACCATTCTATCCGTGATCTATACACCAAAAATATGGCTTCTTATCTCTCCACTTCCCTAAAACCTTTCTGACAAAAATCAGCAATAATCTATTTACTAACCTTTTGAAGTCTGTTAGTGTTTAGCTTACTTGAGTTGTGGCTTTTAGCATGCTGACCCTTCCCTTTTATAGTGGGGCATTGACTTACGAGTTTAATTCCTTCGGAGACCGAGCTCGTTAACTCAAATTACTGTCAACTCAATGCAAAAAATCAGCCAAGAGACAGCTGGTATCTCAAAAAACCCGTTAGTCGGGACACTTGTAAGTCAAGGGCCCTCTGTATTTTCTTTTAGTTCCTCTGATATCATTTTCTTAGTTTTTAGTTCCCTTTTCTGTGGCTCTCTCTTTGTCTATGTCCCAACATTCTCTGTTTCCTTTAAAACACTTTTAAAAAATCTTTATTGTTTCAAGCATTACATATGTCCCATTTCTCCCCACATTGACCTCTCCCATCCCACCCCCACCTCCCACCCCAGGCCTTCACCGCCCTATTGTCTGTGTCCATAGGTTATGCATACGGGCACATGAGTTCATTGGTTGATCTCCGCCCCCCCCTCCCCTGCCGTCCCTCTGAGGTTTGACAGTCTTTTGGATGCTTCTATGTCTCTGGGTATATTTGTGTTCATCAGTTTACTGTATGTTGTTCAATAGATTCCACATATGAATGAGATCATGTGAAACTTATCTTCTCTTACTGGCTTATTTCGTTTAGCATAATGCTCTCCAGGTCCATCCATGCTGTTACAAATGGTAAGAGTTCTTTCTTCTTTATAACTACGTAGTATTCCATTATATAGATGTAGAAAATAAACAAATGGGACTACTTCAAAAATAAAAAGCTTTTGCATAGCAAAAAAAACTATCAACACAATAATAAGAGAGCCCACTGCATGAGGGAACATATTTGCTAATGATACATCCCCTAGCAGTGGTTGGCAAACTGTGGCTCGGCAAACCGTGGCTTGGCAAACTGTGGCTTGTGAGCCGCAGTTTGCCGATTACGGCCCTAAGGTGTTAACCTCCAAAATTTATAGGGAACTCATAGAACTTAACAAAAGGAAGATAAATAATCCAATTTAAAAAAGGGCAAAGGACCTAAGTGGACAGTTCTCCAAAGTGGACATACAGAAGGCTGAGAGACATATGAAAAAATGCTCGAAGTTACTAATCATCCAGACGATTCAAATCAAAATGACAATGAGGTACCATCTCACACCTGTCAGAATGGCTATCATCAACAAACAACAAATGACAAGTGCTGGCGAGGATGTGGAGAAAAGGGAACCCTCATACACTGCTGGTGGAAATGCAGACTGGTACAGCCACTGTGGAAGACAGTTGGGAGTTTCCTCAAAAAATAAAAAAATGAACTCCTATTTGACCTAGTGATCCCACTTCTAGGAATATATCCCAAGAAACCAGAAACACTCATCAGAAAAAAGTTATGCACCCCTATGTTCATAACAGTGCAATTTACAATAGCTAAGATTTGGAAACAGCCTAAGTGCCCATCAGCAGATGAGTGGATCCTCCAACATTTTTTTAAAAGTGTTTCCAGCATGTAGAGCATTTTGAGATTCTGTCCTCTGTTCTGTGCTCTTTTTGCTGTATACACATTTCCTGTGTTAGCCTATACTTTTAACTATTATCTCTATTATGATGACTCTTGAGTACCTCTCTGCAAACCAGCCTCTGAAAGTTCTGCCGTCCAGTGTGGGTATATTATGACTTTCTAGAAATCCCCTGTTGCATGTCTCAAAGGCACTCAACTAAAATAAAATTTACTATCTCCCTTTACTTCTAAGTGCTCTTGTAATTTTATACTTTTGAGTGGCACTATCATGTTATTCAGTCTCCTAAACCAGAAATCTGGAAATCATTATTAACTTTTCCCTCTTATTTTGTGAACATATGATAACAATCACATTTTAAGGATCCTGGGAGACAAGATATAAATAAAAATGACCATTAAGAATGCTTCCCAGATTTGTTATCATTGTTTCCAGACAGAAAATACAAAATGTTTTCCACTGTTAGTATAATCTATATATCTTGCCTTTTCCTACACCAATCTAGTCTACCTCTCTTTGGTTATTGACTCCTGAAGAATTGAGACAAACTTTTTTTTGAACTGCTTTAGTGAAAGTTCAATAAATTACGATGATGGTGATGTCTTTTAAGAATTAATGAAAGACTTCCCAGTCTTATCTGACTCTGCTAAAAGGGAGAAAGGAGGCCTAAGGTGTAATGATGTTGCTTTGCCATTGTTTCTCTAGTAACAGATTAATATTTTAGAAGTTGATGGAGGTTGGAGACAGCAAATATTCAATAAATATGTACTGAATGAGAATGAGCAAATACATATATAAGGCATAAATATCACTTGAATTGCCATCAGTTTTTCATCAGCATAATTAGATAAATGGAAACATAATGGAGACCCTTAGATATATGGTAAAAAAATATCTGTGTTAGAATTTTCCTTTCCCAACTTACCAGTTGTTTGATCTTGCACAGGCTATTTAACCAGAATGAGCCCAAGTCTATCCATAATGCACCTGCCCTGCCGACTACTAGGAAGAGTTGTTTGAAAATCAAACAAAAAAATGGAAGTGAACATGATGCAAAAGCATAGGAAAATTTCATAGTGAAAAAAGTTAAAGCTCAAGGAGAACTTATAAATCAGTTTTTCAAACTCTCTCTTAAATATATATAAAAAAAATGAGGCCCAGAAATGTTGGGTTGCAGAGAGGGTGATATAGGTATTTGGACTACCTGAGAAAAGTCCTTCTAGAAATTTGAGAAGAGGTTAAAGTGATGTTGTATTGTTGTTATTGTTTTAACCACTTTTCCTTCTCTTAGCACTTTATAATGTTTTCCACTTTGCTTATCTTGCTTCCACTTCTTCCTATTAAAAGGGGGATATTTTGTGAAATCATCTTAGAATGAAGAATTTATCTTGTTACATTGCTAAAAATGATTGACATTTTAAAAGAGAAGGCCATGCATGAGGGTAGTATAAACAACATAAAACCCTAGTAGAATTTCATATTTGTTGGCATTTTAATGATGGTTGGACAATTTAAGTGCTCCCAGGAGCTTTGCTTAGGTACAATTGGCTGGACTTTTGCTAAGAGAAATAATTTTCTCTTAACATATCAACTTCAGCCTTGTTTACTAAACTCTGTGAAATAATTTAAAAGGTAGCCCAGCTGGCATGGCTCAGTGGTTGAGCATCGACCTATGAACCAGAAGGTCATGGTTTGATTCCAGGTCAGGGCACATGCCTGGGTTGTGGGCTCGATCCCCGGTGTGGGGCATGCAGAAGGCAGCGGATTGATGATTCTCTCTCATCATTGATGTTTCTATCTCTCTTCCCTGTCTGAAATCAATAAAAATATATTTTTAAAAATGTAATAGGAATTCCCTAAAACATACAGCTGAACACACACATTAATATATTATTTTATTATTTTATTTTTT